ACGATTTCCTTTCGATTGGACCCTTAATTGGGGTTGATCGAACAATTTACAATTTTTGTCGGCCAGCATCATGTCAAAATTTGATTAATTTTTAAAAATTAATTGGTGAATGTACAAACAAATATTTTCACTGTACAATCATGTCCTAACGACGTACAATCGAGTACATAAGGTCGTTTTTTTAATTAGTGCCCTATGTCGGCTAAGTACCTGGAGGTCAACCCCTACTACCTGAGATCTAGTTACAGATAGTTGAGGATATAGTGAGGTAAGATCTAGTGAGAATTACCAACTTCATAAGAGAAATGTATGCCCTAGACAGATGGATAATAATCGAAACCCGAAAAATGTGCATAATAGCTCGTTGCTATGTGGCTATCTTTGTTAATATTCAACTAATTCAACCGATAATTGCATCAGTGGAAAGCTGATACGCGATTTATATAATGTAACTAAGGCCAGTTTTTATCTAAATGATCGCGTGAATTGATTATTAAAAAAAAATAGATTGGTGGTTGTGGAGGGGGAAGTTGTGTGGTGTATAGATACTTGGTCGCTCTTGGTGATTTCGTGGACTTGGCCCGATACGCTTCCGCGTATCTCGATATATATATTATTGGGTTCATGAATTCGAGACAGTAATGTAGTTAATTATTCCCTACCGATAAAATTGGGGGAGTTATTAATGTAGGTTGTAATAATTCATCAAATTTCATTTTAAAAAACACTATTCTGACATTTTATAGCAAAAAATGTCATTGAATGTCAAAAACGGCGAAAGAGAACTCCCAGGACAGTCGCCATATTATGGCCAATTCTGCGAATATTCGTCAAATTATGACAGATCATGGCGAAAAATGACATGAAATGTAAAAAAAAGGAGAGAGAACTCCCAGGGCAGTCGACATATTGTGACAAATTATGGCAAATTCTATGAATATTCATCAAATTATGACAGAATTTTCTGAGAAATTGTGACATTATATGATCTACATGTTCCAAACCGCGGTCATTTATTGTCAATTTCTGACCAGAAATATCGAATTCGGACATATTATGACAGATTTTGACACAGTATGACATATTCTGACAAATTTTCTACGAAAAGATTTGTCAAAATTTGACAGAATTCAACATTTTCTATCAACATTTGTCAGAATCTGTGGACCCGATTTCCACGAGATGTCGTTTTCCACAGATGTCGTTCGAATGGGGGTGAATGAAAGTGTAGATTTTTAAGAGAATTCTGAAGTATAGAGTAGAGTTGGTTAGGAGAAAGGTGATTGGATGAATTCAAAGGAAATTGTGGAAATCTGGGTTTGAGAGGAGTGAAAAAAATCAACTTATCTGTTGGAATTTTCATGATTTCGATGTATATTCTCAGATTGCATTCCTGGATGTCCAGGTGAACCTCTGAAAGCACCTATGATTACTTCCGGTATAATTTCACACTGATATTTCGCACGTGAGTAAAAGAAAATCGTGACGCTTCTAACACCAATGTTATCACGTAAACTCAAATTCCGAATATTCTTAAAGGCTCTAACTGAATTTACAAAACAAATTCTTAAGAAACATATATTCAAACTCAGGAGTCTTTGATGACTCAAATCGCTAAGGCGAATAGGTAGGTTGCGTTTTGCAACGTCTGGTATTTCTCAAATATCAGACAACGTGAAGGTTGCGTGTTGTGAGAATAAAGTGACTTTCGACTCAAGTTAAAGATAAAGATCAAAATTTCCTTTGAACTCGAATCAAAATTATTTCAAAATAAAAACAAGATTTCATTGGTTCTCGTGGACGAGTACTCTTGACCCTCAGCCTCCTCAGAATCGGCTCCTTGAATCACGTTGTTTCTTCTTGCTCCGCCTCCTCCGGAATACGAGTGCAATGCTCAAGGTTACCGATTTGTTGACCCTTGAGCTCGCATCAACCACTTAAATTAAGGGAGGGAGGAAGGATGAAGACACACGCCTAGTGATGATCAATAAGAAAGAAAATGACAGAGAGACAATTAAGAGAGTGACGTATATTACGAGGAAAAATGATACAAAAGAAAACATCGTTTCTTTCTGTAGGTTCTTTGTCTCTCACAAACTCCAATTAACTAATTAGATTCAAATCAAAACAATGCATATTTTAATCACCGGTAGTGATCTCTGGTTCTCGAGATCTCAGACAAAAAAAAAAGAAACTCTCTTTGGAGTGAACTCCAAAGCAATGAAAATAATAGTAATTTCGTGCCAGTACGCCACTCGCAATATGTGAATATTTCTCAAAGTTTGATAATAAATCAATGAAAAAGTCCTCTTTCTCTCTCTAGAATCTTTCCAACAAAAAAAACTATTATACTAGAACTAACACTCGGACGATGGACTCTCAGCCCTCCGGTAGCCCTGACCCTACTTGAGCTCATCTAACTAACCCTATTGATCAGACTAATATCACCCCTTCGGCATTAGAATCAGTATTTGGCAAAAGTACTTAAATTAAGAGAGTACTTACCAACGCATTGAGAAAGATCCAACCTTCAAGCTCGAAAGGAGAGCGAACGAGTTAGTAGATAGACTTCAGCGCGAGGGGGTGATTAGTGAAGAGAGAGCGAAGGCCTTGAAGACTCACAATTCGACGACCCCAAGGATGTATGGCCTGAGAAAGGTACATAAACCAGGGTGCAACCTACGACCTGTTGTTAGCTGTATAAAAGCCCCTACGTACAAGGTAGCTAGGTTTTTACATGAGCTGTTAGTCCCTGTGAGTAGTAATTCAAGATTCAGCGTCAACAACTCAGCTGAGTTTGCTACGTTTGCCGGTGGGGTCCAACTACCGCAAGGTTATACTTTGGCAGCCCTAGATGTAGTGTCTCTCTTCACAAACATCCCTAAAGATCTAGTGTTGAAGATCGTGGAGGACAAATGGGAGGAATGGTCCACACGTGTTCTTGCTTCGAAAGAGCTCGTGGTGGCGCTGGTAAAGTTTTGCTTCGAACGTAGTTGCTTCACTTTCGATAATGAACTTTACGCTCAAATGGATGGCAGCAGCATGGGCAACCCGGCTAGCCCGGTTCTNCATCCCTAGATGTAGTGTCTCTCTTCACAAACATCCCTAAAGATCTAGTGTTGAAGATCGTGGAGGACAAATGGGAGGAATGGTCCACACGTGTTCTTGCTTCGAAAGAGCTCGTGGTGGCGCTGGTAAAGTTTTGCTTCGAAGGTAGTTGCTTCACTTTCGATAATGAACTTTACGCTCAAATGGATGGCAGCAGCATGGGCAACCCGGCTAGCCCGGTTCTGGCAGGTATCGTCATGGATTACGTCATCTCAGAGGTCCTGGAGAAGCTTCCGTGCAACATTGCATGGCTGAAACTCTACGTAGACGATAGTGTGTTGCCGGTTCCGGAGGACTCTATTAATATGGTACTACAGTGCTTCAATTCCATCCATGATCGGATCCAGTTTACTGTGGAAAGAGAGGTGGAGAGATCCATCAGTTTTTTGGATGTAAAGATACATCGGATGAATGACGGGAGCCTGAAGCTCAATTGGTACCAAAAACCCACAAGTTCTGGGAGAGTTATCAACTACGAGTCGAACCATCTGATGGCGCACAAAGTTGGTGTGGTATTCGGCATGTTACACCGAGCAATTGGACTCAGTCACGAGGACTTTCATGAGGCTAATATTGACCGAGTGAAAGATACTTTAACGAAGAACGGTTATCCTGGGAAGTTCGTCATGAAGTGCGTGCGAGAGTTCAAAAATCGAAGAGCTTCTGGGGTTGAGAGAGCGGCAGACCCAGATGCAAGGTCCTGTTTTAGGTTTCCTTGGGTACGAGGATTGTCTCAAAGGCTGAACAGGTGCCTCAGAAGCACAGATTCGAAATTGGTCTTCTACAACCTGAGATCAGTGGGGGATCTGTACTCGAAATTGAAAGATCCCATTCCATTGCTATCGAGGTTAGAAGTTGTGTACAAAATCCCATGCGAGTGTGACAACTGTTACATCGGACAGACTCGGCAGAGGCTGGGCGCCAGGATTCGTCAACATCGGTATGATTGCGCACCCCGAGGTTTCCTGAAGAAAGAGAAAACGGCGTTGGCCACCCACTGCTTCGACAAGGGTCATAGATTCAAGTTTGTGGATGTTTCAATTTTGGACACCGAGAGTCATTGGGTGGAGAGGAATATTGCTGAGATGATCCACATTTGCCTACATGACACTGTGAACAAGAGAGAAGATACTCAGTACCTGAATCGTATGTACTTGGAGTTGCTGAAGAGGTGGAAAAATAGAAATCGAGGGGCTCGAGGTGACGGGGTCGGTTAGTCACCAAAGGTGGCCGTGAGAGGCGCTTCCACGCGGCAACGGGGGGAAGACGAGGTGTGCCGTCTGTGCCTGCATACTCCGTGGTTGTGTTGGGAGGCGGGAGGTGTCCCTCACTCCAATGCATAGTTCATGGCTATGATTAATGAGAGGTGTTGCTGCAGACCTCGATGTTATTGTTAGAGTATTTTGCAATTTTTAATCAATTAATATGTTGTCGTTGCTCCACGCACATTTTATTAGAGTTTATAGTGACTACGTACTAAACCTGTCAAGGTAATTCTGTATATTTCAAGCAAGTGTTTACGGAATTTGTGCAATTTTCAGTATTACAGGCTAGAGTGTTTGTTTTGATTACAATCAATGTATTTGTGTGAGTTTTATTGTAAAATTTGGTTTTCAGAGCCTGAAGAAGCTGCGATTTGCAGCGAAACGTCGCGATTTGACAATAAATTAGTATTGCTGAACTCTTCCAACATCCCATTAATTATTCCTCTTAAAAGTACTTAATTCAAAATTACAAAGTTAGGATTATTAATCACATAAAATAACTCCGGTCCAGTCGGCACTGTCTCAATACAATTCAAGACTAGCGAATGGGTCTGTGGAATTACCCTGTGATCTTCGAAACCCCCGACCTTGGGTATCAAACCCTTAAAAGGGACGCAAGAGCACGTGGGCCCTGTGAGGAAACCTAACGCCTCTTCTTCACTTACACAAATTTCTCAAAAGTGCGCCAATTCCCTTAAAAAATCGACAGACCCATTCACGGTTCGATTGACGCAAAATCCCACAGGAAAAAGGCTCTTGGTTCCCGTCTAAGCCCTAAAATTCCAGATCTCCACGTTAAAATCCGGTAACGGCGTCAATGCCCATCCGAGAACTCCTGAGATGCACTAATTTATCTCGGCGCGTAGCAAATACTAAACTGTCCCAAAAAACCCGTTGAAGGAGGGCAAAAGGCCCTTCGACTTCCCCAAAATAATATTTTACGCTTCGGAAACCGCGAACATCAGCAACACCTAAGTAATTAATGCAACTCACTCTAAACCCGCTCTCACAACGCTCAGCACGTGGTTTCACTCCGGTGCTCGACGACGCGCAGTTTTCGCCTAATGCTCTCTCGAAAAACTTCTCCCCAACGGTTGGCAAAGCCTCCGGTGGCCCTCTCAGGTCCCTTTCTCGGCTGGATGTCCACCCAGGCGAAAAACACGAAGAAAACCACAAGAAAACACGAAATGCAGTACGGACGAATTAAACCGATGCAACAGTTGGAAGATGGCTACGCAGAGTGATAAGAAGAAGACGGAAATCTTCCTCGGTTACGCGGCCCTGCATCAAAGGCTTCTCCTTCGAGTTCTCTCTTGGGTGTTGATTGGATTCGAGAGCTCCGTTCTGCGTGGCAGATGATCTCCGGTGATTCCTGTGGTCTACTCGGTTGTATTGAGCCTGAGGGTTAGAGTGAGTGCCCTAACCTCCAAACGGATTGTGGAGATCCGCTATATTCCCTACGTATTAATGATTATTAATTTATCGCCACCGATTTCCTATCACACGTCCAATCGAGGAGCATCAACAATGCCCTCATTGTCACAATGTAAAGAATGGGTAGATTTAATAAATAAATAACTGTTCATTAAAGATGTTGAGGCAAAAAAGAGATTCAAAAAGGAATTAAGCGTCCGCGGACTAGAAACAAAGCTAAAAAATTGCAGGCGGCTGTATCTTCGATACAGCTGTAATTGTACGTGGATACTTTCATGGTCTTTCCTTCTTTCTCAAATTTCCTAGAAACTCCTTGAATTTTTTCGAAACTTTTAAGAAACTTCTTAAATTACCTCGAAATTCCCAGATTTTTTTAGAATTCTGATGGAATTCTATAGATGGCGTTGCACATCAGGACCGTTTCCCATATTGAAACCATAGACGCATCCACGTTAAAAGAATATCGAAAAGGAAAGAGACGATCGTACATGAAGTTAGTTGAGAGGGAGGAAAAGAGCAAATACGCGACAATATATTTCTTCAAATATCTCATCTACTATTGGACGGATTTCAATTTTTTTAAAATTCTCGTCTCGGTGGCCACTATCGAGATCAATCAAAATATGTATACTCGTTCATATAAAGATTCCGAGATATTCCTGTTCTTCCGTTTTTTTTCAGTCTTACATACCCGACAACTTCAAAAAAAAAAGTGGGAAAACGTGAGGAAAATGAGGGGAACCTCTCATAATATTGAAGGTTCATATTTTGGATGGGCGCAATCAGTCGAGTGGTTTTGGAGATATTCAATATCGCTCTGGGCGTTATCACTTTTTTCTTCATAAATTCACTTCATACTGAAGTTGGTTATTGAAACAATCGATTTTCTCAAACTTATTATTTTATTCCTTGAATTCTTGAACAATATCAATTTTTAATTTAATTATCAGAATTTTAGACGAAAAAAAATTAAGTTTACAATTGTCATTTTGAAATTCCCGTATGGAATTTTGTATACCAGAAAAAAAAAACGAAATTTTATTTCGATGATTTTCGAACTTCGAATAATGAGTTATATACCAATGGAGTTATATGTATTAGGTGTATAAATTAATAAGGTGCCCCTATATTTCGCGGTTTATAATTGCGTTCAAAAACTTAATATTTCAATATTTTGTATGTTGGTAGTATTCAGTTACCGAAGCAGTAAATACTTCTTACATAACCTTAAAAAATAGTAGTAAACACGATGTCTGTCGATAAGCAACATTTGAGGCACTCAAATGATTTGTAGTACTCTTGGAAAAAATGCTGTAACACATAAAATGCGTAAAAATTGGTACCAGAGGTTTAGAGACGAAGATTTCGATCTTTCGGATCGAGAACAGCTGGGTCAACCGCAAAAATTCGGCGATGAAGAACTCGAACAACTCTTGGCTGAAAAGTCTGCTCAAAGCCAAACAGAGCTTGCACTACACCTCGGAGTGATTCAACAATGCATTTCTCATCGCCTACATCAACTTGGCAGAATTCAAAAGGAGGGTAGATGGGTTCCTCATGATCTGAGCCCCGAAAATAAGGACCAAGGACTGGAGACGGCGCTGTCTCTGTTCACTCGATTTTGTATAAGAAAAGATTTCTTATACAAAATTATTACGGGCGATCAAAAGTGGATATTATATGACAACCCTAAACGCAAGAAATCGTGGGTGAATCCCGGCGAACTATCGACGTCGACTCCGAACCCCAATGTCTATGCGAGAAAAGTGATGCTGAGTATCTGGTGGGATATGAAGGGTATGCTATATTATGAGCTACTTAAACCTGGCCAAACTGTTACTGCGAAGGTTTATCAACACCAGCTTATTCATTTGAATGATGCATTGGAGAAAAAGAGGCCATATACTGGCAGCGGAAGACAACTGATTCTCCAATATGACAACGCTCGACCGCATGTCGCCAAAGTGACTAAGGATATTATCTGTGAATTAGGATGGGAGGTTCTCCCTCACGCGGCTTACTCGCCTAATCTCGCCCCATCCGATTACCACCTATTTCGGTCTCTTCAACACCACCTAGCTGATGAGCACTTCAAAATAATCGACGCGGTCCGAAAAAGCATCGATGAATTTATTGAGTCGAAACTGCCAAGTTTCTCTCGCGAAGGAATTCGTCAGTTGCCAGTGAGGTGGAGTAAAGTCATCGAAAATAATGGGGAATATCTCGATCGTTAAATGTCTTTTTGTTTTTTTTTATTAGGTGTATGAATATGACGCCCTTTCCCAACAGATGTCGTTTTTAGTATTGCTTACGTGCACTAATAAATGGCAACACTTGTATTCGATAGTACTTTATGTCAGCTGTCAAACGCACTACGTGACATTTGATTGAAATGTAAGCAACAAGTGTTTTTATCTCCGTGACAATGTCGTTTTTCGTTCCAAGTAAACATCATTTGCGGGAAGTGTTATTACACTATTATATTGCAAAGAAAAGTGTAGCGGAAACTCATCGTTTGCTTGTGGAGATTTCCGGTGAGCATGCTCCATCTAATACAACTTGCAAGTAATGGTTTGGACGATTTCAAAATAATGATTTTGGCACTGAGGACAGAGAACATGGAAAACCACCAAAAAATTTGAAAATACTGAATTGGAGGCATTATTGGCAGAGGATTCTTACCAAACTCAATCAGAATTGGCTGCAGCATTAAACGTCGAACGATCAACTGATGCAAAGCGTTTAGAAGCAATAGGAATGGTTCAAAAGGTTGGTAACTGGGTTCCATATGAATTAAGAATGAAAGAAAGAGACATGGAACGTCGAAAAACAATTTGTGAAATGCTACGTCAAAGACAGCAAAGAAAAGGATTTTTGCATCGAATAGTCACAGGAGATGAAAAATGGATATATTATGAGAATCCGAAACACTAAAAAAATTATGTAAAGCCAGGTGAACCCGGCTCATCCCAGCGAAATAGAAATATTCACCGTGCCAAGGTTATGCTCTACATTTGGTGGGATCAGAGAGGAGAAGTTTACCGACGATAACTAATACGTTTAAAGCGAGCCATAGAAGAAAAACGACCAGAATGGGTGATTAGGCACAGTAAATTAATTCTTCAACATGACAATGCTAAACTGCATACCGCCCAAGTTGTGAAAAGATATTTAGATGGACAGGACTGGGAAGTGCTACTCCACCCGCCATATTCGCCAGACAGCTCCTTCGGATTATCACTATTCCGAACACTGCAGTCAGATCTTACGGGAGAACGGTTCACTTCATACAAAAGTATCAAAATTTGGCTTGATAATTGGATCAGCTCAAAAGACCAGGATTGCTTCAGGCAAGGAATACGTAAATTACCTGAAAGATGGGCGAAGGTTGTAGCTGCAGATGGAGCATACTTTCAGTAAACTGTTCTTTAATTTTTTAAACAAGCAAATGTGTTTTATTTGAACAAAAAAGGGCGGAGTCATATTCACACACCCAATATAATAAACTCTGATTTTCA